ATTCTTGTTTTCTTCATGCCAGACAAGGTCCCCACCATCAGGCCTCAACATATATAGTTGCTGATTTCATAAAACACCTATATGCAAATGCATCTAAAAAAGTGTATGTTCCGAATTACTTTTTATTCATATATTGTTTCCATACTCTACACTCACTTTGAACTTACTTGTGGTGTTGTCTACGCTATTTTAGGTTAACCCTGCTACTCAATTGGAGTGTTTGGTGGTGGACAAAACATCTACAAGTTTTGTTGTTAATCTAAAAGACAAAACATCCTCATGTTGTGGGTTTCAACAGGAGCAGTTCATACATGTTTATGATGTTGTGGCTGTTGGTCAATGTCGAGGAATATCGTGTTGTGGTTACATCTCAAAGTTTTACTTGACACATGAGTGGGTTACTATTTATGGTGGGGGTGGTGCACCGTATTGGTTCTCGCTTTGACTCAAATCTTCCTGATTATATACAATCCATAATGTGTAAGCCACCTACATGCATCACATGTCAACCCGTACTATTTAGCCGTGAGTGTAGGACCTCAATAATGCTCAATTTTAAATTAGTTACCATGGTGATATTTTTGTTGTGAATATAGGGATCATGTAGTCAATTTCTGTTCATAAATTCTACTTTAGTTATATTATAAGAAAACCCCAATTATCATACACCATAGAATTCCCTCAACATCATGTCAGAAAAAAGAAGAAACGGTAAGAAGGCAACATTTCTGGTTGTAACCTTCAGCTTATTCAACGAACTATTCATGAATCTCAAGACTTCAAGAAGAAACAATTGATCAATGGGAACGTGATTACAGTTTTGAGGGAAAGGACGAGGAAAAAACAACACCCTTTGGAGCTCAAATTTTAAAGTGAAGTCATCCCTCACCATCCACATTCGACTTCCCTTATTGTCCTGTGTGTGGCCGCCTCAATCCACGATGTGCTAAGGTCAAGCGGATTATCGGTCGGGCTTCTCCTGAAGCAGGTGAGCAACTACAAGTTCCAAAATGTTCCTTGAGGGCGAATCTCACCCATCGCGGTCTCAACGGCATTGAAGGCTTTTCCCATAAAGAGCTCTTTGTTGGGATCCCGATCAAAGGCGTCATCGTCAACAATCCCTTAAAATTGAGGCTGGGAATGGTGGTATGCTATCTAATTTAAAATTAAGGGTATTATGGTCAAATTAGGCATAATTTATTCATACGCAAAACTACAACTCCTAGTTTTTGAAAATTATTATGATCATGACTTATATCGGTAATTTTCACATTTTCACATTTCAATACATGAGTACTATGTTTTTATTCTCCAAATATGAATAATTAGGGTCATGTTTTTGCATTATCAAATTTTAAATTAAACATAATATGGAGTAATATTTTATAAGCTTGATAATAATTACTCTGTCCGCCCCTGATTAAACTTCCAAATTTTTCTTTTGGGCGTCCCAAAATAAACTTATGTTTCCCCTTTTGGTAAAAAATTTGTGATTCACAACAATTCTTACACATTCTTATACCCACTATCTTAACTCTCGTACTAAATGCATTATGAAAGTTAATTTAGGAATGGAGGTAGTATTTATTAGGGGGTTTTACCTCAATATTACTAATAAATGGATCATTGACAAAAAAAAGTGACTGAAAGTACTAAAAGTACAATTACAAAAAAAAATAATGATCTTTTTTTAAAGTACAATTACAAGCGCTACATTAATGACGCTACAGTGACAGGTTTACAGTGACACCACCACAGTGACAATTTTACAATGACAACACCATAGTGACTCCATTCCATGGTATCTACCACCTGCCCACAAGCCATAATGACACTGCCAATAGCGACACCATCACAGTGACACGTTGACTCCGACCATAGTGACATGCCGTCTCCCCATCCCTCCCCTTCTCCTCACAGCCCCTCAGCCTCGTCCCCGGTCTATCCTGCCCTAGTGTCGCCGTTGACCATCACCGTTGGCCATCACCGTCGACCACCGCCCCACCACCGGTTTGATTCCCCAACCCCCAGTCACTTCCCTCCCTAGCCCATAACCCCCTCTATACCTCATCCACCTTCCCACCCCCAAGCCCCCGTCCTGACCCCCAGTTCCCCCACCCCATCTCCATGGTCCCCAATCTCATCTCCCCAACCCGACATAACCCTCCCCCAGCCCCGACCAGGAATGACGCACCCCACCCCCACCCAATAACGTCACACCTAGGGGGAGCAAAACCAGACCCGACCCAAAAAACTAATCAAATATAGCCATGGTACGCCTAGCGGGTCGAATGACCCGAACCCAATTACCCGATCCGAATTCCAAGCCTTGGTCTTTAAGGGTAACATGTATCGGGTAGGGTTTTAAAAATGCTACTCGACCCGTCCGAAAAAACTGAACTAGTGTAGTATACATATACTACTTTGAATTATTCTGCGTGTTCAAATATCTCAATTACCATATTATGTATATTCAAATATTCCAATTATCGTATTTGTACAACTATAACTTTGAATGTTGTATTGTTATGATTTTATATATCACAATTTCACACATGTCACCACATATTATTATTTTGAATGTTCAAATATGTTGATTGTCGTATTTATACAACTATTACTTTGAATGTTATACTAGTTTAACTTTGAATGATATTTTTACAAATTACGGAGTACCATTTTATTTATCACTATTTCAACAATAATCAATTAAAATCCCAATGGACCTGAAAACCAAATCAACCTGACCGCAACCCGAACTTCTTCAACCCAAAAAAAAACCAATAAATTTTTTGATAGGGTAGGGTTTGAAATTATAAATCCGATAACTGAACGGGTTTACCGAATCTCGAGCCGTCCAAACCGAACCCATCTGATGCTCTACCTTTGTCGCACCACAGCCACACCCAACAACGCCGCACCACAGCCCCTAAAGCCTCGCCCTAGCCACCTCTCTACCCCTACCCCAAATTCGATCTGAAACTCGGATCTGAAAATAAGAAGGAAAACCACAAAATGGATCTGGAATCCCTGATTTGCTGTCAAGAAAGGAGAAGAAGGAGAATAAGGGTTGGTCGCTTGATGGTCGTCGCTGGCCTGAAGAAAGTCGACAAACCCCCGATGAGATGCAACAAAGAGGAGAACCGGCGGCGTGGAGCGTCGGAGAGGATGGCGCCGATTGTGTGATGGGTGAAGCCTCCGTTCGTACTAGGCAGAGATGATGGAATGCGAAGAGAGAAGCCTCCGTCCTTAGTCCTGTGCGAAGATGAATGTGAAGAGAGAGACGATCTTCTACGAGCAAGAGAAGAGAAATTGATGGGCTGGGGAGAAAAGGGATTGTTTTAATTGGTCACATTCTTGTCCAAATTCAAACCGGTCATATTTTTGTCTATGTAAACTCTATAGGTAATATTCATGCCATTGTTTCTATTTATTACTAGAGAATAAAAATAAGACTTTTTCCTTGAATATTGCCAACTTGAAGCTAATTTCTAAAAGCGTGACCAATTTTACAAAAAAAAAGACAAAAATGTGACTAAGAAGGTCACATATTTAGAAAAACATGATGTCACAGTCATTTTTTATGTCACTGTCAGATTTTTATGTCACTTTTGAAATGTCATTACCGATTTTCATGTCACTTTCAGATGTTACTGTGTCACCTGAATTTTTTTGAGGACTTTTCCCGTCAAAAATTTCGTCGGAAACTGTCACCTTGCCACCTCGACACCACTGCCATCAGCCCCCTCTCCTGCTCCCCCACCCCCCCTCCCCTACACCGCCAACCCCCTCACATGCACCCCCATCCCCCTCACCTGCTCCCTCAGCATCCAAGCCCCCTCCTCTGCACCCCCAGCCACCTCACTTGCTCCCCCTGCCCCCTCCTCTGCTCCCCCCACAGCTTTCTAACCCTGTACAGCGCCAAGCCCGCCACAACTGACCTGCCCTAGCATCGCCCAGCCCCAGCTCCCGCCACCACCACATGATATGCGCCATCTCCGCCCCAATGCCGCACAATGCCACCTAGTCCTGACAAAATCGACCTAGCCCGCTGCCCTCTCTCCGACTCGTTTCAGCCCCAACAACCACAGCCACGCCTCGCCCCAACCCCTATCCCATATGTGACACGCCCTAGCTCCAACAGCCCCCACTCACCCCAACCTCCGCACGAACCACCGCCAGATCTGAAATCGCCGTCAGTTTATCGGAACCCTAGATCTAATAATCAGCGACGCCGATGTATAGGACGAGAGAGATGAAGATTGCAAACAACAATGACAAAGAGGAGCAACGAGGAGGAGGAGGAGGAGGAGGAGGAGGAAGAAGGAGGAGGAGGAGGAGGAGGAGGAGGAGGAGGAGGAGGAGGAGGAGGAGGAGGAGGAGGAGGAGGAGGAGGAGGAGGAGGAGGAGGAGGAGGAGGAGGAGGAGGAGGAGGAGGAGGAGGAGGAGGAGGAGGAGGAGGAGGAGGAGGAGGAGGAGGAGGAGGAGGAGGAGGAGAAGAAGAAGAAGAAGAAGAAGAAGAAGAAGAAGTCACGGTCGCTTCTTGTGGTCGTCGTCGTCTTCGACGCGGTAGCCGCTGGCTTTGCTAGTGGTCACTCTTGGTAGACGCTGAAGGAGAGAGCCTGAGAGGAGGAGTCCGTCTGAGATGATGAGTGCTCTTGCAGGCAATGAAAAAGAGAGGCGATTTGTGCCTCAAGGAGAAGGACGATGAACCAGAAGGATTATTAAATCACTTTTTTGTCCAACTCATAATTGATCATATTTTTGTACATCCCAAATAATATTTGTGCCATTAATTCATAAAAATATACGGACTACTAATAATACTTTAATTTTAAATTTTCAAAATCTTTTACTAAGAGTATCTCGGCAGTCTAGAGTGTAGAAAAACTGGTTTGGGTTCGGTGGTGTGACGTTGGACACCCCCACTTTTCACAATTAATCTCAACCTTTTCCGCTCTTTCCGCCTAACTTGGCTCAATTAGAAATCGAATAAAAAGAAAACAAAAAAGATTCTGTGCAGAAAAGGTCAAACTCCCAGCTTTACTCTTTTCTGCTATATAACCCGCTTTACTTTCCACCTTCTCTTTCCACTCTGCTTTCCTTGCTCTTGTTTTGTACGAACCCATTTCTTCTTCTTTGATTGCTTGCCTGCCTGCCATGGAGGATGGGTTTCTCTTTAACGTTGGAACTCCATCCACATTGCCTTACACAGCGTCCAGCTGGAACTCTTCATCAGATTGCGATGGAAACCCGCGTTGGGACGATTCTTTTTACCAGTACTCCCAATTAGAGTCCTCCCCTGCCTCCTCCTCCTTCGCGATACGCCAGCTGATCGGAAAGCTCGGCAACATTTGCGACTCGTCTCCTTCGCTTGTAGCTCCCACTCCGGGTTCTTATTCGGGGAATAGTGAGGTTACCATTAATGTTTCCTGCTATAGTACACCACTCAATTCGATTCCCCTTGACTCGGTCCATCTGCCGGCGCTCTCAGCCGATCCCGGCTTTGCCGAGAGGGCGGCTGAATTTTCTCGTTTCGGGAGCCGCAGTTTCAACGGTAGAAAAAGTCAATTAGGGCTGAGCAGTAACTGTAAAATGCCGTACAGATCCGCCACGATGTGTAGGGTTTCGAGCACTAATGGTCTCAAGCAAGCTCGATCCCCATTGCAAAACCAGAAATATGGAGCTCCGGCCAGCCAATTGCATCCGGTTCCGGCCAATTCAAACGAGGCCTCATCTGTTTCCGAGCAACTTCCTAGCGGGTCAATAAGCCCGGGTGATTTGAATCCCAGGAAGAGGAAAACAGCCTCCAGAGGAAAAGCTATTGAAGATGATACTGATGGCGGGAAGGTATGAGCTGTGAACTACCTCATCCCGATTCCATGCTACTAAAACTGTGATTTCATCCATAGACGAAACAAAGCTTTTTAAATTTCTTCATTTATTACAGGGTGTTGAAACAGATCATAATTCAAGCCCGAAGCGATCCAAGATGACGGATGATATTACAGAGGATTACTGCAGTCAGAAGCACTCCAAGGCAAATCAGAAGCCCCTGGAGCCATGTAAGGATTACATTCATGTTAGAGCAAGAAGGGGTCAAGCTACTGACAGCCATAGTCTTGCAGAAAGAGTAAGATTTTCATGCAGGCCAGTTATGCTATAAATAAATTCTATTGACGTTTTTTCAGTTGTTCATAATCTAAATTTGGGGTTATTTTGCAATTTTGGTTAGGTAAGAAGAGAGAAGATCAGTGAAAGAATGAAGCTTCTGCAAGATCTTGTCCCAGGCTGTAACAAGGTGATTGAACATAAAATTCTTGTCTTCATTATTATTATCACTATCAATCTGATAGTTCATTAAGTTTTGACAAAAGTAGCAAATTGTTAACCAGGTGACCGGAAAAGCACTCATGCTTGATGAAATTATAAACTACGTCCAGTCCTTGCAGAGACAAGTTGAGGTATGTAAATCAGTGCTCTGTGTATTGAACTTCAGCTGCATATGGAATCATAGATTCATAGTCGAGTTCATACCCGATTTGATTCCTTGACCATATACTCAGTTTGGCTCACTATGCCATTTGCGCCCAATTTAGTCTTCATACAAATTTTACTCTTACTAAGAAGGGTATTATTTTATCTACCTACTTATTTGAATCCAAATTGCTTAATAAGGGCCTGTTTAAATCCAAAATTTGGTCTTAGTTTTGTGAAGCCACAAAAATACTTCTTATTTAGAACATACTCTCTTGGACGAATCCCTTAAGTTTAACCACATTTTATCGCTTGTATTATATATTGTGTATTATATATTGTGTGTAATTTGTTGCAACTCTGGCCTGGTCGATCTGTTGTAATCTGTTATGGTCTGTGGCTAAATTAAGTCCAAGAGAAGACGTTCTTGATATGAAACATGTATGAGGACAAATTTGGGTTATAGTGCTAAGGGTGTTTGATGGTTATGGCATAATGTAGGAGGACAAATTAAGTATAGTGTAACGGGCGTTTGAATGTTCAGTTTGGTCAGTTTAGGTTGATTCAGTTCTGAAATATACAAAACTGAAATCCAAACCGGATGATTGTAGTCATTTTTGGTCCAGTCGATTTTGTCAGTTTCAGCCGATTTCAGTTTTATCAGTTCATATCTCTCAGTTCGGTTTCTTGGTTTGTTCTCTAAACAATCACTCTTCCTGTATATTTCTTGAATGTAGTTCCTGTCTATGAAGTTATCATCTGTAAACCCAAGTCTGGATTTCAACAATGATAATAGCATGCCGAAGGATGTGAGTATATATAAATAAATCCTAAATCCTACTCTCATTATGAGGGCATTTGCAACAGGAGAAAAACCTAATGCTACGCCGTGTTTGCTCAGATATGTCAACCCAATGCATCCATGCCACAAAATTTTCATGCTATGCATCACAACCAGCTGCAACCTCATCAACAACACAATAATTTTTCCAATGTGGACCCAGCGTTGGATAGGTCACTCTGCCACATCATGGGAATGCAGTTACCTCCTCTGGATGGATTTGGTGAAACCCTTAGTCAGGTAATTTAACTGCTGCTGCCCACCAACTCTACAAAGTACAAACCCAAAGTTAATGTCACCCAATTTGGGTATAGAAAAAGTAAGTGAATATTTTTTGTTTTATTTGTTTCATGCAGTTTCCTGCTGCTACTTGTGATGATGACCTCCAAAGTGTTGTCCAAATGGGACTTAACCAAACACCAACCCCAGAAAGGATCTGACTGCAATTTCGGTTTATGGATGGTTACCATCTTTCTAGTTTGTTGGTATTAATTATTTTGGGTGGAATCACCATTAGCTAATCCTTTGATTAGAGGTGGAGAGAAGAGGTAATTGATTATTGATGTACATAGGAAGAGACTTTTTGCAAGTTTAAGTCTGCTTCGAGGATTGCTAATGCCTTATTTCCTCCATTTGTCATCCTTAATTGTAATTTAATTTGGCACCTTTTTTCCTTCGGGAGTTGTATATATTTAGCTGCTGCTACTACTTCCTTCTCAAGTTGTATATATATTTCCCTTTTTTAATATGTCCCTGCTTGGGACTTATTTCCTTCCAAGGTAAAGTGAACCTTGATCAATAGATAATTAGATGTGTGTGTTACATCCAGTAGCAAATTTAAAAGAATAAATAATTTTAATAATATCAAGTATCACTGTAAATCAATAATATTTTCTATGTCCCGCTAAGATGGTGTCAGCTTTCTTTTTTTATTTGTCTCACTCAGGCTGTCTTATACGGAGTATCAAATTTGGTAAAGTTTATGCGGTTATAAATTATTTTTATTTTATTCTTACCGTATTAATGTAATATGAATCGCATAAACTCATGTTTCGTAATAACACATTACATCCTCATGTCTCAATGTTAGTGGACATGTAGAGCTGTCAAACGGGCCAACCTGACCCGACCTGTAACGGCTTATTTATGCTTTATGTGGGTTGGGTCGAGCCAACCCGTTTAATGATGAGCCAAGATTTCTACAACCCTAACCCAACCCACCTAACTCATGGGTTAAACGGGTTGGCCCGCGGGCTAATGTAAAAAAAATATAAAACGATTTTTAAAAAAAAATTATCCAGAAGTATATATTTATATTAGCAAGTAGTAACAAAGGAAATATTTAAAAAAAAAAGAGTAACAAAGGAAATATAAGAAATCAAAATACTAAAAATTCAATATTTGTTAAGTTTAATTAAAAATATTAAATACTAGTTATACGACAATTTGAAAACTATAAGAGGCTATGCGACAAAAATACTCATTGTATAAGAATAAAGATTTACATAAAACTTTTGATTAATTATTTGAAAATAATGACTACTAATTGTTAAATATTGTATCGAACTTCACGAAAAATATATGTTTCAACATTTTATTTGTAATTACAATAATATTGGTAGTAAAAGAACAATATTTTAGATAATAAAATTCAAAAGTACTCCCTCCGTCCTGGAAAATTCTTCCAACTTTGAGTTGGATCGCACATATAGGTAGTGGAATAAAGTAGAAATGTATGGTTGTAGTTGTGTAACAAAAAGGTGAAATGAATTTGAGTCACACAAATAATCAAAAAGGTGAAGTTGGAAGAATTTACTGGGACATCCCAAAAAGGAAAGTTGGAAGAATTTTATGGGACGGAAGGAGTATATTTTTGTATTTTGGCCCGCGGGCCAACCCGTAACCCGGTGGGCCAACCCACTTAAACCTGCAACCCGCGTGGGCTGACCCACGAACTAAATGGGTCAGAAATTCTCAACCCTAACCCACCAATAAATGGGTTTAAACGGGTCAGCCTGCAGGTGTCGGCCCATTTTGACGGCTCTATGGATAGGGTATAGCCGTATAGGTAGTAATGCGTAATTTAGAAATCAATTGCAATAATATTAACTATCGTAAGAGTCTCGTCCCTGTCCAGCCAGTCTGACGGGAGCCGCCGTCCGGTCGAGCACATTTCTGGCACTTCCCGATCGAATGTTTTGATGAAGTTTTTGAGCATGTTCTTTATCAAGTCTTGTTCATCCATACCAAATTTTAACTAAAAAATCAACCGGGAAGGCAGTCAAATAATATTTGGAAGATAACTGCGTTGTTTATATGATAAACTAGACTTGGTGAAAAACATGCTCAAAAAAATTCATCAAAAAATTCCACCAGAAAAGGTCTCTGATGGCCTCGACCGGATGGCGGTTCCTGTCAGGCCGGTTGGACATGGATTGTCCTCACTATCGTAATACTCCCTCCATTCTCTAATACTCCCTCTGTCCCTCAATACTTTGTCAAACTTGACCGGCACGTGGATTAATAAAGTAAAAATTGTGTGGTAGAGTTTTGTGCAGATGGGAGAGAATTATCTGGAACCACGAATTCTTTACGTAAAAGGGAAAGTGGCAAAGTTAGTGGACATCCCAAAAAGGAAAGTTGGCAAAGATATAAGGGACAGAAGGAGTACATGCCCCCCTTTCCATTTTGGGATGTTCTCTAATACATGTCTCTCTTTTCATTTTTAGAAAGTTTTTTCAATAAATATTCTTATACACCCTCATTCTCTTTCCCACTTTTCATTCTCTTTCCTACTTTTTCCTTTACATACAATGCACTACACCTTTTATCTTACCCTTATTAATTTCTTCATAAATCTTATGTCAAAGGTTATAGAATCATCTATTAGAGAACGGAGAGTATATATAATTAAAATGATAAGAATCGTGTTTATTAAAAACAAAACGTTCATTTAATCCTTTAAAACGGATATTTAACCATCATATACGGCTTATATTGAATTATTAGAATCAATTATTTGATATTTACATAAGTGAAAAGGATCAAATAAGCCCTTGAACTTACATAAAAATGTCAAATAAGCTCTTATATAGGAGACCCTCTCCGGCCGTCGCCATTTGGGACAGTTCCCGGTGGACTGCGCTTTTAACTGCGCAGTTATCTTCAAAAAATCATTTGAATGCCTTCTTGATTAAAGTTTTAGCTGAAATTTGGTATGAGTAAATTAGATTAATGAATAAGATGATAAAAAATTTCATCAAAAAATTCTACTGGGAACCACTCCAAATGGTGACGTCCGAACAAAGCCTCCTATATAAAGGATTATTTGACCTGTGGGAAAAGGGGCAAATAAGGCCGCGTACTAACCAAAAAAGTTCAAATAAGGCCTTATTTATGAGGCTCTGTCCGGCCGTCATCATTTGGGGTGGTTCCCGGTGGAATTTTTTGATGCAATTTTTTGAGCATCTGATTCAGTAAGTCTAGTTTACTCATACCAAATTTCAGCTAAAACGTCAATCGGGAAGGCATTCAAATGAATTCTTGAAAATAACTGCGCTTTTAAACCATCAAATGAGTTTTTGACTGGTTTTCTGAATAAGCGTAAAATATAAGTATTCTCTTAAATAAAATAATACTGTTTTAATTTTATAAATAGAATTGAAGATTGTATGGAATTATGGATGGACAAAAATACACCCCTTCCGAATAGTATTTGGCTATTTGCTATAATACAAAACATAAAATACAACAAACCATCATTGAAATCTAATTATTTCCCTCGGACTCCGATTAAATAATGATTTCCTAAGATCATGTATATAGTTACTTTGAAGTTATACACGAACACGATCATCTTGCAATCTATCAACCTCTAACCAAATATTGGCTGCGTTTGTTTTTCGGCGGATTCTTGCCTACCCGCTGCAAATTGCAGCGGTTTGCAGTTCAAAACAATCAGCGGATTGCTCAAACCGCTGCTATCCAAACGGGGCCATTGTCATTATAAAACCATACCTCCCCGAAAGAGAGTGACAATGGCCTCCGAGTGTGGGCGGCGACAGGCGGCAGATGGCAGTTGGAGTAGATGTATAAAATCTTTTATTGGGAAATTAAATGATATTTGAATTTCATGAGTAAACTAGTTTGTAAAATCAGGGAACAAAAATTGGAAAAAAAGAGAGTAAATGTTTATAAAAAGAACAACATCAAATCGCATTTTAGAGAAAATAATTGTGAGATTTGCCCAAACAGAGTCAAAACTAGGGCTGAGCGCCGATCTGAGAATTCTCGTTCCGTACCGAGGAACCGTCCCGTACCGTTCTAGAACCGAAAAACCCAGATAAATGTAATATCGTACCATACCGTACCGAGCTTTTTTAATAATATGGTACGGCCGTACGGTACCGGTTCTTAGGGAGAACCGTCTCGGAACCGTCCCGAAACCGTATTGAACCGAACCGTCTCGTACCATCCCGAATTGTCCCGAAAACTAGTGTTATAATATTATAATATATTATACGTAGTATATAATATATTACCGAGTATAAATGTTAGTGACCGTGTGTCCCGAAAACTAGTGTTATAATATACTCCCTCCGTCCCACTAAGTTTGGGACAAAGGGGTGTGGTGTGGTTTTTAAGAAAAAGTGGAATTGTGTGGTTGATATTGAATTGATAAAGTGTGAATAAAGTAAGAATAGATTCTAACCACTCAAATGTTACCAAATATGGTATGAGACAAACTTAGTGGGACGGACGAAAAAGGTAAAATGGGACAAACTTAGGGGGACGGAGGGAGTAATAATATATTATATATAATATATTACCGAGTATAAATGTTAGTGACCGTATGTCCAAATATTACAAATATGCAATCTTGCATATTCTTTGGGCGTAATCCAATTATTAAGACTTGACAGCACTAAAATTTAGCTTTAAAACAAAAACAATATCTAATGATATGAACAATGCTACATAAATAGGGTTAATTATATTTCATGGGGGTTAATTATCTAGGAACCAAATAACACCGGAGAACCGTACCGAACTGTACCGAACCGTACTGAAAATTGGTACGGAACGGGACATGTTCTATATATATGTGGGATGGTACCGGTTCTTGATTTTTAAAAGAACCGTACTTTGGGACGGGACATGTATTTTGAAATAACCGTCTCGTACCGTCCCGTGCTCACCCCTAGTCAAAACAATGTCATTTTCTAAGACCTACTAGTAATAGTTAAAATTCCACGAATATGATTTTTTATTTCCTCAAAAATACTTATATTTTTACTTTGATTTAGGATAATACCCTTGTTCAAGTTAAACAATAGATGGAGACATGAAGTCAAATGACACCATTCTTATGCGCTGTTTCGCCCCATCTTGCACTTTAAAGTTTGTTTCTACTCCATTTCTTATCTTTGGAAGTATTGATGTACGTGGGCCAGGAAGCTGGGTGACCACGACGGACAATGATCAGCCAAATGTGATTTACAATATATGGTGAATCGGTGATCAATAATATTGTTATTTTGTCTCATCTTTAGTGATCAAAAAATCAAAATTAAAGGATTTATAAAGTTTATTGAGCACTTTACATCCTAAATGTCATTGTTAGTACAACCTTGATTCATGAGTTATGAATAGTAAGTAGTAAGGACTACTTGACACATATATTACTTGTAGTCTTGCACCGTCCATTTTTAAGAGCAATTTTTGGTGTACACATTTGTACACGTTTCACACATCTTTTCTGTTTACACCTTACACCGACAATTC